TGGGTCAAAACTATATGATGTTATCATTCCCATGATTATTTTTTGCTTTATGGCAAAAGGAAATTATTCAGATGGACCCAATGTAATCATATGAACCCTTAAAAGCAGAGCTTTCTCCTGCCTGAGGGCAGAAGCAGAGATCAGAGAGATTTGAAGTATGAAAAGAATTTGACATGCCATTGCTGATTTTGAAGATGGAGAGAACCATATGCAAGGATGGTAGAATGGCCTCTAAGAGCTACCAACAGCAAGGAGGACCTCAGTTCTATAACAGATAGAAACTTAATTTGGCCAAACACTCAAATGAGCTTGGAAGCAGATTCTTCCCTAGAGTGTCCAGTCAACTGATACCCACCTAGATTTTGGCCTTCTGAGACCCTTAGTACAGGAGCCACCTGACCTACAGAAGTGAGATTATAAATGAGTGTTGTTTTAAGCCACTTAGTGTGTGGTAGTTTCTTACATAGCAATACAAAATGAATACATAGGAATTAAGATTTCACCAACTCTAATATTAGCCAGACCCATTTCTGGGATAGCCGTAGGCTATTCATAACTGAAATCAAGATACAGTATCTTTGATAATTTCTTTAATCTGTCAATTGAATAACTATAAAAAAATAAGAAAAGAAAAGCTGTGCTCTTTATATTTATTACCTTAAAAAAGAAGATCTTGACTGGGAAGTGGCTTTCTACTTTTCAAGGCACTTACATATCTCTTATCTTATCCTCACAAGAGCCTGGTGGGACAGATAAGAACAAAGCCTATACAAGTCATTTGCCCAAAGAAAACAGGAGGGACTTCAGCTCAATATTAGGAAGGCCTTTGAAACAATTAAAACTGGCCCACTGTGCAAGGGGCTGCCTTCTAAAATAATAAATCATGCCTTGATGGAAAAAAAGACTAATTGATCGTATTTGAAGGATTTAATGGGAAAAAGCCTGGCATGGTTAAAGAGCCAATCATCTGAGGTCTCTCAATACTAAAGATTCTGTGTTCTCTATAAGTTGCTAAACTGAATTGACCCGTAACCGTGATGAGGTTAGTTGGCTAGACAAGTGCTCTTCTTAAAGGATTGCTTGTCATTCTCACAGTTGCTGTTGTTTTAAGCAGAAAATTTATCTAAATTCCTTTGCACAAAGAAAACACTGTGTAATGGACCCTAATAACACATTTTTTTGAAGCACCAGGATTTAATAACTTAGGCAAGTTTCACAAACACGTTGTAGTAGAGGCAAGATTTGAACTCAGCCTGACTCCAGAGTCCTTGCCTTAATCTACTATAGCACATTCTGCCCCCGTCACTGGGAAACAGAAGCAAATTGAAGCAGTTGGCATGGATGCTTAAAGAAATGGACAATCTATCAAGACCACAGATGGTATGTTAGAGCAGGAGCATCTGTGCCAAAGGACTAGGACATTCTGTGGCTCAGTGACCTGAGCATAATGGCAACCCATCATGCAGAAGAGGGAAATACTGTGACTTTTCTTTGTGTTTTTCTCATAGCCCAAGCAATTCCCCATTGTCTTATAGCCCAAGCAAATGCCTTACTTATTAGAACTCCTTAGACAGCCCACTTTCTTTTCCTGAACTTTGGTCTACCTATCTGTAAAATAAAGGGATTTGATTGGTTGATCTTGGAAACCCCTTCCAACTCTAAACTTCTATGATTATGTGGAGAAACATATATTTTGACATTTCCTCCCAAGTGCTTCTCTGAAGATAATCAGCTCGGTAGATGCTCAAAAAGAGATTGACACTGAGTTCCTAGGATTTCTTTTGAGAGATTCTTGAGTTTTCTATGAGAATTCTATTTCTGTCCAACCTTGTGCTTCTGGACTCTCAGATTCCTTAAGAACCCTGCAGTTCCAGAGAGAAGAGGCCTGGGATTGCCCTCTGGGTGGCAGAGGAGGCACCCTTGGGACAGAAAGGGGTGGGAGAAAGAGCAGACAGGAAAGTTGACTGTGGGTCAGGATTCCACCAGCCTAGGCAGCTGCCTTTCCCTCTGGGAGGTTCAGGATTGCTGGCAGGCTCCAAACAGTACTAGGAGAAGCCCGAGCCTGGAAGAGGTGGAAAATATAGGGGCCAATCTGGAGCCAGAACTCAGTCTAGGAGGGCAGGTATACGGTAAAGGCTACACAGAGGACTCTGCGAAAATCTAACCACGAATGTTTGAGAGAGGAGAGAAGCATTGCCAAATGGTTACAGTGACTGAGCAAGGTGAGCTGAGACCCAGCTTTCCGTCATAACCCTGACTCACCTCGCCTTGTGGCCCACCTGACAGATCAGCACTTAATCTAATGTGAGCTTAGTCCACAAAGAAAGGTGAGCCCGGACAAGCAGGGGTTAAAGACAGCCCATGACCCCCAATCAGCTGAGTCAACATATTCTATTACACTGGAAAACTCCAGGTGGGATAATAATTCTGCTCACCTCTCCTCCCTGCCTGGGGGAACTGCCTTCCTGGGTCTCACTTTCAAAGGCTGAAGGGAATTTTGCACTTATTAAAGGAGAATTCGGGGACTCACTTTAAGTCTTTTCAAAACCATTTTGGTTCTAGTGGAACCAAATGAAGAAGCTGAACATATATCCAAAGGCCTAAATTCCCTATTTGACCTAGAACCAGAGAAAGGCTCATAAGTGGAGATCCAGACACCATCTGGCATGAAAGGCGTTAACTCAGAGTTTCTGGTTAAGTCCAGATATCAGATTGAAAAACAGAAAATTCATTTCAGAGACCCCCTCTCGTCGGCCCCTTCCTGACCAACCTGCAGGTTCTGAGCCTAAGTATTGATTTGCTAGATATTAAAAAGTGAGGCCAATTGCCCATTTTTAGTGGCTTTATTGAAGTATAAGTTACATACCTTGAAGTTCATCCATTACAATTTGGTGATTTTTAGTAAATTCATAGAGTTGTGCAACCATTGCCACAGCCTAGGCTTAGAACATTGCGATCACCCCATCTGCAGTCAGTCCCCACTCTCACCCCACTTCCTGGGCAGCCACTGATTTAATGTCTGTCTCTGTGTTTCTGGACAGTTCACAAATGAAATGATATAATATGGAATCTTTGGTATCTGACTTATCTCACTTACTACGATGTCTTTGAGATTCATCCATGATGCAATATGTATCAGTACTTCATTTGTGTATATTGCTGAATAGTATTCCATTGCATGGCTACATCACATGTCATTTATTTGTTCACTGTTGATGGTCATCTGGGTTGTTTCCAGTTCTTAGTGTTATAAATATTGCTGCTGTGAACGTTCCTGCCTAAGTCCTCCTGTGTGAACATAAATTCTTATTCCCCTTGGTTAAATTCCTAGGACAATTGTTGAATCATATGGTATCTTTACTTTTTAAGAAAGTGCCAAACTGTTTTCCAAAGTAGCTGTACCATTTTGCATTCTCACCAGCAATGTATGAGGTTTCCAGTTTTTCCGTATCCTTACCAGCATTTGTTAGTGTCTGTCTGTTTTATTATAGCCATCCTGCTAGGTGTGTCACGATACCTCATTGTGGATTTAATTTGTATTTCCTTAATGACCATTGATTTTGAGCATCTTTTCATGTGCTTCTTACCCAAAGGCACATTTCAAACTAAATGGAAATATAAGTCCTTTTTAGAAAGTGCCAGAAACAAGCTTAAAGCTGAGTTAATTTTATTGTCATTAGTAAAAATAGTTACAGGAGGATTAAACAGATTGAATGACTGATCTGTTCATTCATTAATTCCTTTGTTTTATAAATAATTATGAGGGCCTTTCTGTGCCTACAGCTGTGCTGCTTTCTGGTGATGAAACAAGGAATATGACATAACCACCCTTTATGTATCTTATGAAGATATATGTGAAAGATATGTATTATATATATTATGTCACACACACACATACACACACACACACACACACACAATTAAAGTTTACTGTTTTTGTTTTTTGGTTTTTGGTTTTTTTTAAAGCTGAGCCATCCTGCTACCTGTTGGCAGCTCAGCGGCTGCTCAGCTCGGGCTGGACTCGAACCCCTGTTGCTCAGAGCTCAAACTCTTGAGCGAGCTCTTAACCAACTGAGCCACTCGGCCAGCCCATTAAAGTTTAAATGGAGTAGGAATGCAGCTGAAGCACATCTGCTCACTTACCCCAGTGTTGAGGGGTCCCAAAATATTTAGTGGGTGAAGTAATGACAAATATAAGCCCCAAGGGGTTAGTAGCCGACTGCCAGGCAAAGACTGTAGAGGAACATGACCCAGGTAGACTGGAAGGTTGGGGGCTGGATGGGGGAAGGAGAGAGGGACAAGCACAGCCCTAGTATACCTGGATTTCTTAGTCTGTGCAGGCTGCTAGAACAAAGTACCACAGACTGGCTAGCTTATAAACAACAGCAATTTAGTTCTGAAGGCTGGGAAGTCCAATATCAAGGTGGCAGCATGGTACTATTCTTGTGAGGGCCCTTTTGCTGGCTCACAGATGATGCCTTCCCACTGTGCTAGGGGCGAGGCATCTCTCTGGGGCCCATTCATGAGGGCTCCATCTTCATGACCTAATCACCACCAAGGCCCCACCTCCTAATGCCATAGTCTTTGGGGGTTAGGATTTCACCTTATGAATTTGAGGAGGACACAAACATTCAAACAATAGCACTGGGCAAGTGAAAATAGCTCTTCATGAATGGACTTTAAAGTATTGGGGCTGGGGGAAGGGGAGCATTGAGAAATGGCCTAGAGAAGTAGGGAGGGGCAAGATCAGGAAGGGCCTAGCAGAGCCACCAGTGCCCTTCAGGGAGGGAGCATCATGATCAGATGATCCTTTACAACGTTCTTCCCACAGCGCTGTGGGAACAGATGGGAGCGGGGAGCTCTGGGATTTCCTTTATAGAAGCAGTGCCAGGCCTCCAATGGGCCTCCCAGCTCTTTCTCACTTGGACCTAGCAGAGCCAGAGCTATTCATGGGCCACCTGCGGCACTGACAATGACCTTTCCCCTTCTGTGTTCCACAGGTGCTATATCACCCTCACCCAGTCTCTGCACCTGACCATGAGTGGGGCTCCAGCGGGACCTGCAGGCACAGGCAAGACAGAGACCACCAAGGACCTGGGCCGAGCACTCGGTGTCATGGTCTACGTGTTTAACTGCTCAGAGCAGATGGACTACAAGGTACAGGCCCAGCTCTGGGAGGGACTAGGAACCGGGCAGGGACCAGGGTTCCCCACGCCACCCTGGCCCAGCTCAGAGGCCCCGACAAGGAGGTCTTTGCCCCCTCTTCACAGAAGACATTGGAACCCTTGACCCCTGAAACTTGTTAACTTCCCTGTAAACCTCAGCACCATGGAACTTGCTTCCACTGGTGAGATCTGCAACTACAGATGGGTTACTTCACTTTTGGGATCTTCCTTTCATCATCTTTAAAATGAAGAAACTGAAAATATATCCAAAGGCCTAAATTCCCTATTTGACCTAGAACCAGAGAAAGGCTCATAAGTGGCTAATATAAAGGCTTCACATAAAAGTCATATTTCTGCTCTTCTGTAAAAAATGGTCATTTTCCCCAGAATACCCACAAGAGCAAAATATTCTACATTGTCTGGTGTGACTTCTTAAGACAGACTAGATTAACTCTTACCTGTAACAAGAGATGCCCACAAAAGACAAGTGCAAGGCTGATGTTCTTCATTTAGGCAATCATCATTTTTACATTTTTAATGTATTCCATGTTCTGTGTCATAGAGAAAAGCAAAAGAAGCAAAGACCCATTAGGTCACTTTTGGCTAGCAACATTCTACTCACAACTAGACCTTATGTAGATTCTTTAAAACTAAAAAGTGTAATGACAGATTGCCTCACTGTCTCATTATTTTGTTTTACTGTATGTATTTTTACAAACTGCCTTAAGTCCCTGTTGAGAACAGGATAGCATGTAAATAAATTTAGAGTAGGAAAAATAAAACAGATGCATTAAGGATAGATTAAATATTTGTGTGTGTAAATCATGTGATAAGTTGATTGCAAAATAAATTTAGTTTAAAAATAATTTTAGACATTTACACAATGGACTATTATTCTGCCGTAAAAAAGAATAAAATCTTACCATTTGCAACAACATGGATGGATCTAGAGGATATTATGCTAAGTGAAATAAGTCAGACTGAGAAAGACAAACTTCCATATTATCTCACTTAAATGTGGAATCTAAAGAACAAAATAAATGAACAAACAAAACAGAAACAGACTCATAGATACAGAGAACAAACTGATGGTTGCTAGATGGGAAGGAATTGAGGGATGGGTGAGGAAGGTGAGGGGATTAGGAAGTACAAATTGGTGGTTACAAAATAGTCACATGAAATACAGTATGGAGAATATAGTTGATAATGTTGTAAAGTCTATGTCGGGTGTACATGGGCACTGGACTTATCAAGGGGATCACGTCATAGATTGTGTAGATTCCTGACCACTGTGCTGTATATCTGAAACTAATATAAAATAATATTTAGTGTCAACTATAATTTATATATAATATATATTGTAAATATATAGTCACGGGATGTAAAGTACAGCATAGGGAATATAGTCAATGGTATTGTAATAGCTATGTACTGAGTCAGATGGGTAGTAGACTTGTTGGGATTATCACTTTGTGAGGGGTATAAATGTCTAATCATTATATTTTTTGTACACCTAAACTAATAAAACATAAACTGAAAAAAGATAATAAAAAAATTTTTAAATAAATAAAAATAATTTTAGAGTTTGCAAGGTTAACACTTGAAATTACTATGTTTAGAACACTTTAAATGAGATTCACCTCTTGTAACTTTAATAATTTCTCTTAGATATAAAATTTTGCTGTGCAGAGAGTTGCAGAATCCTATAGCACCATTTTTTTTTCTCATAGCAAGCAAACAAAATGAGGATTCAGACTCAAAATAACTGTGTTCCCTATAGTCTACACACCCTAAATTTTAACATGGTTGCTTATATTGACAAACACATTAAGATAATATTTCTCTGTAAGTCAGGCTGGAAGAAGAAAGGTTTCCCCCCCCCCTTTTAAAGAAATAAACTCAGCCTTAAAGACTATTTCCAGCTTCTAGATTCTTCTATAGTTGAAATAAGTACAGTCTCCCAAGAGGTACATTTTGGAGGACACACTCGTTTAGATGTAGAAGACCTAGTGTACAGAGTGAAGACAATCAGCTAGTTTCTCCATGGTCATGCCTAGCACAGCAGACAGGAAGATGAGTTGGCCCCATGGCCAGGGAGCATTAACGCTATTTTACCCAATCATTTGAAAACCTACTACTGAATCCTGACCCCACCGATTCCTCTAAGAGTACAGGGTGAGCGGAGGAGTCTGTCTTTAGTTTGTTTGAACAATGAGTGAAGCTTTGGTCATGTAAGCCTAGGCTAGACAGAGCAGAATTTCCATCAATACGTATGGCCATAGGGAAGCACGCCTAAAGGAAGGGGATCCCTTCCTAGACACCAAACCTCTTGTAACCAAACAACCTCACTAAGCAGTTTGTAAACCTCCTCTTCCCATTGTTGTCCAGTTATTCAGAATTATTTTTACCACAAGCCCCCTCCAGCAATCAAGTTAATTTGAGTATCACCATTGCTCAGCATATATTGGTCATCATGGGAGGATACCAAAAATAGAGATAGATAGATAGATAGATAGATAGATAAGATATAATCCAGTCTAGATAGATAGATAGATAGATAGATAGATAGATAGATAGATAGATAAGATATAATCCAGTCTATTTGGAGAGAGAAGAAAAATATATGAAATAGTTAGGGAAGATACCAGATAGCATTACACTGAGTGCTAAATGTTGTTCTAACAACTCTGAGACCTGGAATACTCCACAGTGGATGGACAGCCACAGAGAGAGCTGGTCAGGAAAGGCATTGTGGAGGGTGTGAGACCTGAGGGGGTTTAAGGCTTGGGTGAGTGCCCAGCAGGACATGTGACATTTTAACACAGCCAAACCCATTAAAATGTTAGTTTTAAAGACATGCCCGAGTTCTCTATGCAATTGCTGTCCTTCCCCTGCCCCTCGCTCTCATTTCACCCCCGAACTTTCTTCACGGGGCTTGGCAGGACCAGGAGAAGAACGGAGTGAGGGTCAGGAAAAATTGTCGTGCACCTCACCAGGCATCATCCTGTTGTGTCATTCATGACACTTACAGCAACATATTCTGTTTCTGTACCTCCAGAGACCATGGTAGAAGTCACCATGGAAAGATGGCCGAGTACATTAGAGTGGATTGGGGAACAGGAGACGATAAGAGATGGGGTTGAATAAAAGGGGAAGGGTACAAAGGCACTTGCGAGAACCTGTCCCTGAAGTAGGGGGCTACAGAAAGACTCTTCAAGTTTCAGAACAGAAGTAGGAGCACGATGAAAACAAATAGTATTTAAGGAAGGCTCCTTGGAGACAGGAAGAGACCAGAAGGAAAGGAAATTTTTGGTGAGGGCATTGCAGTCATTCAAACCAGAGAGGGCGAGGAGCCGGATGATGGGTAGTGACAATGGAAAAGAAAGAATGACGGGCTTAAAAAAAAATTAGTAAACATGGGGAGGGGTGGGAGGTGAAACAGAGGGAGGAGTTAAAGAGGAGAGTTTGGGCTGCAGTCAAGGACCCTCACGATCCTCTTTGTGAAAGGAATTCTATTAGGAGGCGTCGGGTAATGGAATGGACAGAACAGTATGGAGACTTGGGGAAAAGGGAAAGTTATTGCTTTACTTTATTAGCGCTGGCTGGAAAAATCTATAAAACTAGCCACTTTCTCTGGAAATGGCTACAATTTTAGTGCTAACGTCTTCTTTATATGATAGCAGCAATACTTTCCTCCTTGACCTCATTTTGGAGAGGCTATTGCTGAAACATTAAATGGTTTTGAACCTGAAAGCATCTGGATCTTTTTTGACTTTTCTGTAGCATCAACCCTATGGAACACCCACTCCTTGAAACCCTACTCTCTTGATTTCTGAAACATAATTCCACAATTCTCCTAACTCTCTGATCCGGCCTTCTCAATTTCATTTTCTGATTATCTTTCATGTTTCAAGTTTTACCTGGGTCCTGGTGATGCCCAAATCCATCTGCCAGATTTACTCAGGTTCTAGTCCTCTCTTTACCTGAGCAGTGGAGGGCTCCATTTGGATGCCCTTCTCTCATATTTGATTAACACTCTCTTCTCAGGCCATTCCTACTAACTCTTGTCTTCCTTCTGGCCAGATTCCTAGTCCCATTAATATGAATAATCTTATTTTTCTCTGTGGTCCAACATGGAAAGCTTGAGACATCCTAATTGTTTCATGTCTTTCCTTTCATAGTTCCAATCCGTCATAAATGTTGATTCTTCCCTCAGCAGGCCTCTTGCCTCCAGGTTTTCAACCCTATTCTTATTTCCCTTATCCTAGCCCAGAAACTCACCATTTTATAGTAAGGTAACACCACAGCCTAGCTAACCATTGTACTATTGTGGTGGGGTCAAAAATAGGACAAGGTGGAGTCCTGGGATTCTGCTCAGGACCTCGGGGTAAAGTGTGAGGATGACAAGTCCCCTACCTATGAAAACGCTATTTTTTTCTATTTTATATATTGGGTTTCCATTTGATGAAGGGGATCCACACCTTTAAAAAGCTTTTAAAACCACTGTTAATGTGGAAAAGCACACATTTTGATTCCTGAACTTCCACTTAACTATTTGTGACATTTGACAGGTTGCTATTATTATCTCAAATATAATAATAGATATTACTATATGTATCTCAAATACAATAATATATATCTCAAATATACATATATATGTATGTATATATATATATACATACATATATATAGACTCAGAATATAATAATTGTAATATCCAGCTGTAGTATTGTTTCAATCTAAAATAGCCACATCACCCTCATTTTAAGACCCCAGAGCGGCTTATTACTATCTGATAGTTTCTTATTTTTGTGTCATTGGCTATTTTCCCCACTGGAATGTACGCCCCACAAAAATAGAGGGTTTGACTTCCTTGTTCAGTGCTGATTCCTCATGATCTAGGATAGTTCGTGGCACATAGTCATTCTCAATAAGTATTTGCTGAATGAATAGAGGAATCGTTTAATTCAAGGAGCTTAATAAAAGGTGGGGCTTATTCTTTCCTCCCTCTTCAAAGTGCCCCAACAACTTAGCTTCTGTAATGTTATACTGGTTCACCTAAAATGTTGATTTAGTCATGTTTTTCTCTGTTTCAAACCTCCAAAGATCCCTTATAATAATTCAAGGTTTTTCATAACTGTGACCCCCCTTTAGTAATTCAACTTTCCAGCCAAAACACATCTTTATTTTTCTCTAGAAATATCATGGTTTTGCTCATCCTTTATCCATAATCTTTCCTCCTAGAACGCCCTTACTTACCTTTTCATTCTACCTACACAGATACTATTGGGTAGTCGGAAAAGTCATGACATATTTTTTCTACGTTTTTCATTGCAAAAGTGTGTCATGACTTTTCCAACAGCCCAATATTATCCTATTCAGCCAGCATTCCAAATGTAGATACCACATAGTTCTGTGTGTGAGATACCAATATCCCATATCTCCTGACTCCTGTTCTTGTGTTCTTTCCACTACACTGATGTTTCCCAGAATGCATCTGAGAAAACCAGGGGCCGCATGAGGGGGGAAAAGAATCCTAGCCATATAACAAAGTTGAACTAATTAATTTTGTAGGACTTCTCAGGGCGCTTAAAATGCTATAATTAGCGAAAGTAGGTTATACAATACAGTGTTTCCCAAATTTGCTTAACCAAAAATTCTGGTCTTCAAGGAACATCTTCTAGATTTGGCATTCGGTGGAAAGTGCTGTTGTAATACTATGTGAAATTCACCTCTTTGGCCAAACTGATCATTCTAGAGCATTTTGATCCACTCCCCTATGAACTCCATAGGATCTGTGGTCTATAATATCCATTGGAGCCACTTCTCATATAGCACTTTACCTGTTCTATTTGCATACCTTGTCTCCAAACCTAACTAGAAGTTCTTAGAGAGACTGAGTTTCCTGTGTCTAGTACATGAGTTACGCCCAGAGCTGACGGTCGAAAATGCCCACTGAGTGAGTACGTAGAACTTCCTACTACAGTAAAACCTTGGATTGCAAGTAACGTAGTTTGTGAGTGTTCCACGAGACGAGCAAACATTTCTAATACATTTTAACGTGGTAAATGAGCAATGTCTTGCAATACGAGTAGTTTGTTTCTAGAACGAATTATGCTCGCAAACCAAGGTATTACTGTATTTGCATTTTTCTCAGTATTGTAATGATGTGTACTTGCCAATGATCTTAAAGAGTGTCTCCCAGTAACCTCTCCCTTTATATTGCTCCATGGTTTACTAGTTCATGTTTAATGCCCAGAATGGTTTTTATTTTTAGGACAGATATGGCATCTTCCCTCTGAAATTCTTTCCTTACTCTCATTTGAAAGACTTACCTGCAGTTTATTTTCTATAGATGTTGTCACTTCCCCCCCCCCCCATTTCCAGATTTCTGTCACTCTGGGAAACCTGGGTATTTGGGCATGGGTTTAAACATACAGACATAAACTTTTTCATCAGTGCATGCAAAAGGTTGAGTGGAAGGCTTTTTGTCAGTATGGTACAAGAAAAGTAATATTTTATTCATTTCCTGGGATTTTGAAAGCTACAGAATCAACAGTAATGCAAGCCTTATGACATTTTGAAGGGATTTTGTTCTAAGTGTCTTGAAAAGGTTCTGTTTGATCCTGTGACTTATGTTGGCACCCATAGCCATCAAAAATTTAATTGTTCTTGAAATTTTAATACAAGTTTCTAATCAGTGGTCTTTAGAAGTCTGGAAGTACCTATAATAAAGAGAATGGAAAATGACTTAGGTGTGTATTGATAAGCCCGATACTGATAGTAATTTAATCTTTGTACATTTTATTTCAGTCTTGCGGCAACATCTACAAAGGCCTTGCTCAGACTGGTGCCTGGGGCTGTTTTGATGAGTTTAATCGAATCTCTGTGGAGGTCCTGTCAGTGGTGGCAGTACAGGTATGGGGGCCAGAAGTTGGTGTGAGCCCTGTGGTCTTCATGCCAAGCACTGTGGAAGTCTGTTATATCCTCTTGTTTTCAGCCTGTCTTCATCTCCTTCCCTGTCTCCCTCCAACCTGGCATTTCATGCCCCTTCCTCCATCCTCTAAAATCAGGCCTGAGTGCAGAATATGGATATGCTGCAGGTCCCTACCAACGTGGGTTCATTACTGGCCATGGGACTCCATTTTCTCCTCTGTAAAAGGGGAATAAAGAACAGCCTTCTCACCCGTTTCATAGGGGTGAGGAAAGCATCAAGCAAAGTGGCAGAGCCCAGCTGCTTGGAAAGGGCATAGGCTTTGGGAATTGTCAGACTGGGGCTTAAAATTCAGCTCTGCCATTTCCTAACTGAGACTCTGGGCAAGTTGCTCCACCTCTCTCAGCCAGTTCACTTATTATATAGAAAGTGAGGATTATAGTGTGAATGTTGTTGAATGAAGGAAGTCATTTTTGGGTCAGATTTTATGTCAACATGCCACTTGCCTTTCAAGTCATCCAGAAGTGCTTATTTACTTTGTACTCAAGACTAAAGGAAGGGTCCCAAGTTGAATAGGGCATGACTCCTAACTGCACAACTTGAGTTCTTGAGACAGACATGAGCACTCTTTAGTGTTCTAGAAGTGATTTGAATTCTGACTCAGAGTATGGGATAAGACTGCTAGATAGCTTATCTTGAAGACAGGCCTTAAAAGGATGGAGAAGATTTAAATTTGGGTAAGGCTCCCAAAGACAGTGGGAACAGCAAAAAAGTGGGGGATGGAAAAGTGAAAAAACCTTTGTTGAAAGTCTATTCTGTACCAGATACTTCTCATTATCATTTCTTATACCTTGTATCTTACATCATCTCTAAAAGCCCCACAATAGTCCTACAAGCCACTGTTATGCCCCATATTATATATAATCTGTGTGCGTTTGTTAGATTTGAACCCAGCTCCCCACCCATGCTGACTGGGTGCAGGTCTGGGCACAGAGCTGGTGGACAGGAGATAAAATGCTAGAGAAGAAAGGAAGGCTCGAGAGGCAGGCAGATGCCGTGATATGCATCATGCCTCCTTCAGTGGGAAACAGGGAACCCCTGGAGATTTCTGAAAGGGAAATTACCCCTCTACTTGGCAGAGGGTTTTAAGGAGGGGCTGGGTAGTAGAAGAATCAGCGGCTACAGTCAAGTCTCAGAGCTCTCTCATGGGGTCCTGACTACAGCTGCGAAGGCCTGAATGGGAGTCCACCAACCTCCCCTAAAGGCCCCCCAATCACCACGAGAAGCATATCCTTTACCAGCACCTGTTCCCGTGCTCCTACCTGTAAGCCGAGTCCCCCCATTTCCCACTAGGGGAAGCTTGTGCTTTCAGGCTCCCCACCCGCTCCTACCTCAATAAAGCAAATGTCAGGGTACCATATAACGATAAACGCTGTGGTGAAGTTTAGGGACAATTGCATGTCTGCTGCTTCTAGTTTGTGCCCACATACTGTACTGTTAAAAATGCTTTAATTTTCCTCTTGTCATTAGCTTTTATTTCTAAAACAATATGTATGCAGTATGGAAAAAGAAAAATGGACTCTTTGGTCCCTATGGGACTTCTGTTTAATTTTTTCAGATCCAGATAAAGAACAAGGAAAAAGCTTAGCGTAGCTGACATTTTTCTTAGGCAAGTGTGTCGGGTTGAAGGAAAGAGCAGCAAAAGGGGTTGGGGGAGTAGCTGCAGAGAGAAGGGCATCATGGTGCGGGGAGGCAGCCAAGGCAGCATCCTCCCCTGCTGACTGGCTTGCCTGCCCTGTCAGGAGCCAGTCTCTATCCACATACCCCCACTTGCTGGCACCCCTCTTGCCCAGGCACGCTTTACCTGCCCCAGCTGGGCTGGTATGGAAGCAACTACAAGCTGAATAGTGGTAGGATTGACACTGTTAGTTGACCCCATGGCCCACCTCATCTCCAGTTGCCACTGGGAGCCATAGGTGGTCAGGGGCTCCACAGGGTCCTTTCACTTCCCTACTTCTCTCACCCCCAAAGTGGTCAGTCTTACCACTCTTGCATTTGAGCCAGTTGGTGCTCCCACTCGCTGATTCTTGTCCAGACTCTTTCCTGGTGAAGCTCCTGGAAGGTATAAAAATATGGGACTTTCTCCAGTTCCCAGTGGTTTTATGGTTTCCCACTTCCTTAGGTTTGTTTGATTCACTAGGAGTTAGTAGAGGAAGGACATTACATAGCTGGCCTGAACATTGTCTTGGACTGAAAACCCTTGACTAGCTTGGTTCAGAAGAGCTGATTGTATGCATTTCAGTGCTGTCATGTCAGTAGCTTGAAACCAACTATGGGGTGTATTTCCACTGTGGAAACTGGTAAACTCTACAAATCAGTTGTTAAACATTTACCATCACATCTATTCCTTCCAAGAATGTGAGGTCAGTGTTCCCAGATCTTTTAAACTTTAAAGAGAGGCTCAATGTCCATATTTTTATTTTTAAATTTTTCTAGATTTCAGTAAGTTGGCAACTCATTCAATTGACAAAAAGGAAAAAAAAAAAGCCTGAGCCAGACAAACAAAACACATTAACTACCTATATTCACCTCTGCATGGTCACTTTGCCAAACAAACAAACAAAACCAAAAAAGAAAAAAAAAAAACTACTTAAAACCAGAAATGGCACCCCTGCAAGGTCTTTTTGAATTTGGGATATAACCCATTTTGGACTACAAGATGTGGAGTAAAACAAGTAAAATAAACCTTCCTAGAGTACTAATTCTAGGCCTAGAATGGTTCTGAAAATCAGGACATAAATGTAGACTTTTCACTGCTGCGAGGTTGATAACCCATAATTATTCAATGTACCTGGAATTTTTCTCCTTACTTCTTCCACTGAAGATATTTAGCAGCTGAAGTCTTCCTCTATCTTTTTTATTCCTTACCCACTATCCTGTTGTTTCTACCCACCTTTCTGTGCACCTCTTTCATCTTGCTTTTATGATTTTCTGCACCCTGTCTTCTGCCTGCTAGCCCCAGATTTTAGAGGGCATTTCTTGTTCTCATCAGCCAGGTTGCACTGTTCTGACTGCCCTCACTTAAATCCAGGATGATTCATCATAAATAGTTATACCTGTGGTATCCCAGTGCAGCACTCAGAGCTGGGAGAAGGGGGTGTGCCAAATGACTCTCTCAGTGTGTCTCCCCAAGGAGCCCAGAGAAAGGGCAGGTGGTGAGTCAGACCAGGATCAGCATAGAGCTTGTCTTGGGCTCCAGAAATTGTGTAGCAAGTTTACGTATAATTGTGATTTTAAAATAAGCACGTTATTGTAGAGTGAGATTAGCCAGGCAAGGAGGTGGGGAAGTGGTTATGTATGTAGGCTCTGACACCACACTGCCAGTGTTCACTTTTGGCTCTGCCACTTACTAGCTGCGCCACCTTTAGGCAAGTTTGTGTCTCAAGTTCCACATCTGTAAAGGGGGTTAATAACTGTACATACTTGAGGCAGTTGTAATAATTATTAAATCAGTTAATATGTGTAAAGCACTTAAAAGAAAGCCCTGCAGATAGTAGGCAGTCAATACATGTTAGTCTCTGTGATGATGATAATGGTGATGGTGATGATAATGATGATGATGGTAGAGATGATGGTAGACATAATGATGGTGGCAATAATGATGATGGTGGTGGTTATGATGGTGATGGTGATGATGGTGATGGTGGTGATGGTGGTGATGATGATGATGGTAGAGGTGACGGTAGACATAATGATGGTGACAATAATAATGATGGTGGTGGCTATGATGGTGATGGTGATGATGATGATGATGGTTGTGTTGATATTAGTGGTGATGATGATTGTTGTCATTATTACCTGAACAGTGCAGTTAATGGGTTGAAGAGAAGTAGACACATAAGGCAGGGAAGGAGGGTTCACACCCTGGACTCACCAGTCTTCTCGACACCCTTCACTCCTCAGCTGGCCCAGCTGGCTGTCTTACTAAACTTAACAGTGTCCTAATCAATGAGGCAACGCCCAACAATCATTCTCCCTAATGGATAATATTATAGATACTGTGAATTTGCCTTATTTTGAAACTGTCTGACACAAGGTCAATAATGGGTTCTCCAAGATCAGTTCCCATTTGCTTCTAGAATTAAATGAAATGAGTTCAACCTGGAATTCTATGATACTTACACATTCTAGTCTAGGAACACACCCATAGGAGACATACTGAAGAAAATGGTCTGACAGCAGCCTGGGAAAAAACTGAGCTGGTAGCGTTTAAAATCATGTACCATCCAAGGAGAAAATTGCACTTAATTATTCACACAGTAATCCAGGCTGGCAGATCCATCCAGAAGCTGCACCAGCTGTGACACATTGTCTCTTGCTCCCCCGTCCTCTGCCTTTCCTCCTCTCTGCTCCTTGCCTGTCTGTGCTCATCTTCCCAGTAACTTCTCCCAAAGTAAGTATGCTTTAGTGTCCTTGAACGTGAACATTTTCATGTCTCTGTCAGATTGGTCAAGCAGAATTGCATATCCAATTAGGAAAAAGTATGGCAATTCCAAGAGCAATTTCTTGGCTATTTTTAAAACATATACGATACTACAGTACTTGTTTTTCAGAATGTTGCCATTACTGTCTCAATCAGCTTGCTATGCCTTGGGTTATCTGGACCTGGGGACATGCGCCACCAGGGCACACTCCACCACCCTGTACCTCTAGCCCCTTGTCCCCTCCACATTCTCTAGCCAGGCATCCCTGCCACTTTCCTTTCTTCTGAGGCTGGAAGCAGCTAGAAGCAGCAGATTAGTTAGTGAGGACTTGGGAGCTCACCATAGCATGGTTCCAAGTACTCAGGGTGCCAAACAAATGCTAGAGTTTCAGTATCAAGGGAGTTTCCCATGTAGCACCCTTCACAGAAGAGCTTAAAGTCTAGGGTGAAAACACAGAAATATAAAATGATGTAAAAAGCGATGAGTGGGTTGCACTTCCT